GTTACACTGAATCGCGCTGGACGTGAAGACGGAGTCGTTGCTGGAATAGTAGGAGAAAAGGGTGGGAGGGGGGCTCCTGGAGCTGCTGGACTCTGTGGACGCGGGTCCTGCAGGACTGTTGGTGTGTGATCCAGGACCCTCGCCAACTCGAGCGGGGAGTCCCGTTGGGGTGGTGTAGAGTAGATGGATCCATCGTCCTGCTGGACTGCGGGGTGGGAGTAGTACTCGCGCAGGCGGCCCGTCCGCGTCCGCCCCTTTCCGAGAAGGGAGCCGCCGAACCGGGGGGACGTCCGGCAGTAGCTGGAGGAGAGGCGGAAATTGGGTGAGAGGGACGCTCGCCGCCAGGGGGCCCTGCCGCAGCAGAGTAGCCCATTGAGGCCGTGGTACTGGCGGTGGTCGTGGTCTTGGTGGTGGTGATGGTACCCGATGCGTATAGCGTACCGCCAGTCTGCGCGGCCCTTTGAAGGAGAAGGGGTTGCCTTGTCGCTCCCCACACCGCTACCCCCGCACCCCCGCCAACCCCCCTACGGGTTGACATTTAGGGGTGGAGCGCGCACATTTTCCTCCATCTCTCTCTCTCGCTCTCTGACTCCGGCCAGCACTCTGCGGTTCGACCAGCAGCTGCCCACCAGAGAGAGGTCCGAGTGCTCAGCCCGTGGTGGTTGGCGGTGGCGGCGGCGGTGCGGGAAGCCTTTGGCCCGTCGCTGTTGGCTCCGCTCGCCCGCTCTGCGCCGCCGGAAAGCGCTTCTCTAATTGGGTGCACAAGGGGGGAAAAGGGGGGTGGTGAACGCTCGCTCTCCCGCCCAACGCGAGCGTTCGGTCGGTCGGTACCACTACCACAACCACACCATACCACGACCAGCAGCAGCAGCAGTAGCGTCGGCACCCGCTCGTCAAATATTCATTTCATCAGCTCTCAAACTCGCTGCGGCAGCCGAGACGCACGCGGCGGCAAGGGAGTCGCGTGCGTGCGCGCATGTGTGTGTGTGTGTGCGTGCGTGCGCAACGCGGAGGCACTGCGTGCGGCAGCGGAATGTGTATGTATGTGTGTGTGTCTAGATTTTGGCAGTGTCTTGCAGTTAGCTGGCGCGGGCTTGGGGCTTGCCGTGACGGCGTGGCAGTGGCGTGGCACGCCAAGCCAAGCCGAGCCCAGCCCCTCGCGGCGCGGCCAAACATGGAGTATTGCGATGGGAATACCAAGTGCTTGCGCTGCACCCGCCGCGCCTCCGCCCCCGCCCC